CTTAAGAATACAACACGATTTTCCATGAAGTCACCAAATGTGCTACGAAAAATCTTACCAATTCTCTGCATTTGAAGCAAGCCCAGAGTAAGCTATTGCAGAACTCAGTTGCAGTTAAGTGCATTGGACCCCTAAGAGGTTGACGAAGTTCACAAGGGTACGGCAAAGTGCGTTAAATGCGGTCGTGTACCGTTCCCAACGCTGTGTTTTATCATGAAACATATTAAAGTATTACTCGACTTTATCTGCTTTGTATCCAAAATTCAATAAAGACAATGCAGAAACCTCTTGAGCTGACTCATCTCACCTACTCTGACGTAATTTTTGTCAAAATGTAAAAATTACCTTCGGAGGTTTGAATGGATAATCTGTCGGGAAGTGAATAGTCAGAAAAAAGACTCCTCCTTGATATGGTGATTCAGGAGGACCCATGATTGTCGCTTGCCAATGAAACAGATCATCTCCTACAGGACCAGCTGAACATTGTGCCGGTGGATCGCGTCCAAGATCTTGCAATTCCTAGAAACATTCAATCCAACCACGAGAACCGCTAGTTTGTGAATGCGTGCATAACGCATGTAAAGCAAGGTACATGAAAAATCGATTGCCATCACGCCAGCCCGCCGAACAGCCACCGTCCTCTACCGAACGACATTTACTGTGGACTTAAACCGACGATCTGAGCGCGCAGCAACAAACCAACGAAACGAACCTTCTGGATTCTTTTGAGTGCCATTATTTAATTGTGAAAGATGAAATAAAGGACCCGAACTTGCGCGGTAGAGCCGCGTGAACTGAAATTGTAGCAATGAGAGCTACAGGCACAAAGCACAACAAATATCCCAAATAACACTAATCAATATCAGAAAAGAATTCGACACAAACATGGAAAAACCAGTCACCCACATCAAAACCCAGCCACAAACGCCCAGTCACCAACTCGCGGCGCCGGGTGGCGGGCGGTACGAGAAGATTCTGCCAAGAATCCATGTCAGGACCCCGCACGGACATAACGTTCTACTGTGACACGCGGCAATTCAAAATTCCGAGTAACATTCTTGTAGTTCTCAACAAGTTAAATCCTGATGTAAAACAGCTATCCGAGTTGAGGTATATTCATTGCTATGCACGCTTCTGGGCGCCCAATGAGTTCATCACTGGATGCAGTTTGGGTGGTGAATTTGGATGTGCTTTCGGAAACTTAGCAGAACTAATGCTGCCTTTGGCTGGGCGCTACGCTGATGAGCAAAAATACATCTGTGGTGTCTTATAAACGGTTAGAATGCCGCCTTTTTCAACTTAGAGAGATTGTTACCTTTCTTCAAGAAATGAATGAAGTGTTTTAGTGGTGACGAAGATTTATATTTAACACCGAGAAATTACCCTACTGCAGGCAGAACATACAAGAGAGAGAATGCCTGCGTAGGCCCGCTTCTAACAATAAGGAGTGCAGCCGCGGGTTATTTCCTCTACCAGAACGGTAAGGAGTGTCGTAATGGACGAGGAATGGTCGACCTTCTACGCCGGTGAAGAGTGATCACAATTTCAGCTTTCTCCACTTAAGCAGCGAACAAAACAGTGCTTTTCAGTGAGAGGGAAAGGGAGAGCGTTCGATGTTATCTTCGATGAAACTAGCTCACGCCCGCACATGCGCGGCGCAGCCCGCTGCGATTTCGCGATGGTGCCGTTTGAATGGTGCGAGGGTTTGTATTATTTTCGCGCATGTGGATCGTTGAATACAAATGGGGGTGCTAAGTGGGTTGGGGGGGGGGACCATGCGGCGCGGCACCCTGCGCCCTCTCCAGAGAGAGTAGACAAGGAAGGGTAGGCGAGCCCGTTATGGTGTTTAGGGACGTTTCATTGCTTCTTATGTTATAACTGCGTATTTTTCACCTAATTTCAGGAAGGGTAGGAGCTCCGGGGTAGGTGAGCCAATTGACATTCAACTTTTATATCATCTCAGCTATTTGCACGAGACAACCATCTCACCCACCCCGGAGCCCCTTTCCTTCTTAAAAAAATAGGTTTTGTCGGCTCAGAAGAAGACTATCCATAATATGCAAGCATATCAACATGCGAGCTAGTTTGTTCTGAATCACGAAACACATCAGTGCAACCTCACCATTACTTCCCAGACTCAGGCCCACTACTATCTCGCTGGAGAGGGCGCAGGGTGCCGCGCCGCGTGGTCCCCCAACCCACTTAGCACCCAAGTGGGTTCTACATGTTTATTAATCTTCTTCATCAACTTCTTCCTCAATCTTCTTCAACTTACCGCCTTACTCCTTCTAATTCCTCTATCCTACTATATATAACGCGCTAAGTGTGTGTGTGTATGTGTATGTGTATGTGTATGTGTATGTGTATGTGTGTATGTGTATGTGTATGTGTATGTGTGTATGTGTGTATGTGTGTATGTGTGTATGTGTGTATGTGTGTATGTGTGTGTCCGGAAATTCACAACTCGGGTTCCCGTCGACCTAGAGAGTTCAAATTTGGTAGGAGTACAGGCGGCAGCATGGGAACACTTATGGTGGGTGGCAGGTCCGGACTCCACCCACAGGGGGCGGGGTTTGTGCGGAAAATCGTAACTGCAGTCCCCGTGGACCTAGAGCGTCCTTATTTGGTAGGAGTCCCCAAGATAGGATGGGAACGCTTATAATGGGTGGCAGGATTTAGCTCCGCCCACAGGGGGCGGGGTTTACGTGAAAAACTTAGATTTGGACCTAGAGCGTTCAGATTTGGTAGGAGTACAGGCGGCAGGATGGGAACACTTATGGTGGGTGGCAGGACCGGACTCCGCCCACAATGGGCGGAGTTTGGGCGGAAATTCATAACTCCTGTCCCTGTGGATCTAGAAAGTTCAAATTTGGCACGATCACAGGCGGCAGGATGGGAGCATTTATGGTGGGTGGCAGGACCGGACTCCGCCCACAGTTTGGCCAGAAATTCATAGCTCCTTCAGGGGCGGGGTTTGCAGAGAAATGTCAGAATGGACCTAGAGCGACCAAACTTGGAAGGAATACAGGAGGCAACATAGGAACAGTGATGGAAGCTTGCAAGATTAAACTCCGCCCTGAACGACTGGGCGTGTGTAAATACTGTTAGTTGGGACCCAGACCGTTGAAACTTGAGGACACAAGGAGTCGGCTGGGAAAGTTGATGGTAGCTAACATAGTAGACTTAGCCGAGCTGAAGTCTCTGAATACTGTTTTTCCACTGTTTTGCCGTAAAGGTTTGTTAAGGTTTCTCGAAACGTCGACCAATAAAGCGGTTTCTGCCTTAACAAACCTGTACGGCAAAACAGTGGAAAAACATTATACAATATGCCCAGGTTTCAAGAAGACCGAACATGGAAGTCTCTGAATACTTCTTTCTCTGAGTAATCGCATTTGTGATATTATGCGATTTTCTATTCGGACAAAGCGAAGATGGCTTACAGAAAAAATCGCTCCTGATTCAGAGCTAATATTGAGGGTGTAGAGCTTTCAATGAAAAAGGAGAATCCGAAGTGTTATTTACGCATAGCAAATTTCTCACAGGAAACATGGAAAAAACTCGACACGACCTATTCTTTTACCACTTTGCTTCTTCTACAAGCAGATTTTTAGTAACCTCGTTATTACAAGTACAGGGTGTCCTAAGGTTACGGGCGCCAAAATTCAGAAACTTATAAGGTAGGAGTAGTTTACGAAATACACTTCACCCGCTGTAAATTAGATGCACAAGTAGGTTTTCTTGCAATATGCATGGTTACTGGAGTGAAAATCCCAATATCATTCAGAACGCGGAAGCTCCTTTAATGCCACTTGCAATCATTGGCATGCGAGAGGCGGAAGGGTAAACAAAAATTCTTGTGGTTCCTATAATATCTGTACAGATGGCTATTAAACGATACAGAGAAGAAGGTTTCATCAAAGACAAACTAGGAAGGGGTACGTATAGAAAGGCTAGTGTTTTTAGGCATAGTTTCATAATGAAATATTATAACATCATCTTCAATTGAACGTGTTGCCCTGCTGACGTCGCTGCTGTTAGAAGTTCTAAACGAAATCAGACCATCACCTCTTTCGTTCTGAATTCCTTTTGTGTGTGGAGAGAGTATATGGACAGAGAGCACGAGGTACAGAAAACGAAACCCCATGTCTGTTGTCAATTGTGATCACTTTACTTGCGAGACTCTGTTAGCGACAATATCGATGAAGAACACGTTCGGCTCCTCGGACATATTCACGATAGTGGCAGGATAGCAGAGAGTCTGAAAATTCCGTGAACAGTGCTTCTTCAAAAAATCTCGAGCTGATACGCCAGCGTAGAATCGCGCAGCCTGCAGGCAGTAACCAGCCAGCGTCCGAGCTTGTGAAGCTATGCAGAGAAGTGATGAAAAAGATCAGAAAAAAAGATGACAGCAGTTCTGGCAGAAGCCGGCGAGGCAGGAAACGGCCTTCGCACATCCCGACGGAGCTTCTCCAATTTCAAGAGCAAGACGTCTTTCCATCGTGGAAATGTTACTGCACTTCAAAGTACAATGAGGAAGGTCATACACGAGTCCTACTCGATTCTCCTCGACAGCCGCGTCTACCTGTCAACCTACCATTTGGACAAGGACTTTTAAAATTCGACATGCATTCACGTTGATGAAAAATAGTACGGCTCCCCGACAGGATTAAACCAGGAAGTCTAGAAGTCTGTGGAGCCTTCCACCAGTTGTCGTGAGAAACATGGCTAGGCTTTCTCCGCGGTACCCGTCATAATGCAAAGTGTGGTGGAAAACTTGCAAGACTGCGTTAAGAAGCGAGATCCTGACGATATTGGCATCTATCACCCAATCTACCTGCTGTCTGTAATTTACGAGCCTTCCACACGCGTCATCCTCGACAGAATTGGTAGAATACTAGATGAAGTACAGCCACGCAAGCAGGCATGCTTTCAGAGTGTTCAGTGCAATCGACCACGTCCACACTGTCACTGAAGTATCGTGAGATGCAGGACACTGAAGGATGCTTCGTGAACTCTACGACAACTTCAGGGCCAGGATTTCGCCATCATATAAAGAAGTCAATGTCAACGTTAAGAGCGGAGTTTGGCAGAGTATTACCATCTCGCCCAACGTTTTCACTGCCGCTCTCGAGAATATCATGCGTGATTTGGAATGGGAAGACTTGGGAGTGAAGGTCGACGGCCACTAATTTCATCATCCCCGCCTTGCAGATGACATCTGTTCAGAACACCGAACATCGAGCAGGTGGAACGAATGTTGGCCGAATCAGACAGTGCTTCTGGGAAGATCGGCTCAAGACTGAACCTAATGAAGAAGATGCTCATGATGAACGGATTGGTACCTCATGCTCCTTTTCGCTCGATGAAACGAATGTCTCTGAAAGCCGTAGCTCAGGTGAATGCAGATCGAGAATTTGACGGTAGGATCGAACTAGCTCCGAAGCTGAGGAGAAGGTAATGCGGGACGTTCAAGAATATCGAAGTTGTAGTGAAGAAGCGAAGAACATCCGACTCTTCGCTCACCTTTCAACAGCGGCAAATCCTTCTTCGACACACGCATCGAAGACTTAGACTCTGTGGAGGCAGGATGAACATTAAGTAAGCGGACGAGTGCTACAGAGCGGAAGAATCAAGGAGCATCTTCCAATGGGCGTGCAACTGTGCAGCGGTTTTAGTTATGTGCCTTTCATCTCCATCTTCAACACTAGAGCGCAGCATGGTTTGCGCGCCATTTTTAAAGACACGGTCCACAATAATTTTGAGATACTCTTTTCAATTCGAGAGTGGAAGTGTTGATGTATAGCAGCATAACGGTGGCGAAGAAAGCGAGAAAATCCACGTAAATCCCGAAAAACTAGGGTTTCTTGAAGTAGTGGAAGTAGTGGTTGTACGAGATCATCATGACGGAAGTGGCTTGTAAGGGGTGTTTGAACGAATTCTACATGCTCCAACTTCGAGAACAGCTAACTACATCAAGCCGAAATCGTCTGAAACCGCATTTCCCTGTCGCCATGGGGCATGACAAGTTGTTGACCTTCCTACATGGGAGTCACTTGAGATACAGCAGCCTATACAACGCTGTTGAAACTTTTTCACTATAGTGTGGCATTAACACGTTACAATCTCCGACCCCTTATTGTGCAGTATATAGCACGTTTTCGGCCTTATGACGGCAGATACGATATAAGGCGGAGCCTCGAATTCATACTATGGGAAAATCTCAGAAACCATTTTTATTGTGATCCGTGCCTTTCAATGTGCATACACGACCCCCTGGCTACCCTACCACCCACCCCGTGCCCTTGCCCGACACCGTTTTCCATGCGTCGTATATGTAGCGTATGAAAACTTGTGCAGTCAAATAAGATCGTGTCGTGAAATGAAATATATTGTCTACATAAATTCTAAGATTTTGGAGGATGCTCTTTGTACCCTCCGCTCTGTACCGTCACTCCAGTAGGCGTCAGTCAATGCGCAGTGGAAAGAACAATGCTCGAAATTTTCCTATGCAAGCAATTGCAAATGGGTGTTCAGAGTCCGAGTTCCATTATCGAATGAAGACTAAGGATGCCATTGCTCACGCCATGGAATCGAAGATTAGGTGGTCCACGCACGTTGTGCGGTATTGTGATGACCGTTGACCAGGATGGTTACTGAATGGATTCCTCGGGACGTCAAACGAACATCAGGACGGTCGCCAGCGCCATGATAGGTGATACAGGTTATTTGTCATAGTCCACGCTGCCTTCTTAAGGGGTTATAAAATGTGATAATATGAGTCCTCGATTCGTTTATTAGTGTCCGACCTTTGGAGGTAATACAAAATGGATGGTTCTCTTCTAGACAATCTCGGGTGCGGAACTTCTCCCCGATCTCCCTCATTCGCTTTGCGGTATGCCAAACCTTTCTTAATTGCCTCTTGGCTTCAGACTCCAAATACCATACTCAGCCCGCCTCCCGGCCAATCGATAGAACACCATATTTTTCGTTGCCTGCCTTTCTTTTTTGATTGATTTTGATTGTTTCTTTCTGTTCCTCTTTCTGTTTTATGTTTACCAGTTGGGCTACGCACGCTAATGCGTGCACCACATGCTCACCACTTACCTACGACCTGTTACAGGACCACTATGAACAGTATCGGTTGACTTCCCATTTCATGACTGTTTCCTCACAGCGCACACGTGACATTCACACTCTTCGTCGTGCCTATGTGACTTTCGGAAGGACGTACAATTGGGCATAAAACAGACCCACAAAATTACCGCTCTATACATAGAGACAGTCGGACCGCCCGGCTAACGCAGGGCTCTCCTCCTTTCTTAGGTTCTAGTATTAGGCGAACTCCCCCTCCCCCACCGATTTTAGGAACGAATGATGCTTTTCTGAATCGGACACACTCTACACAACTTTGACACAGGACCCAAAAAGAGGGGAGCTGACATAAGCAGGGCAGCGCCAGTGGTATTTAGGGTGTGCCGATGCTTACGCCTACGACTAAAAATGTCGATCGGTTGCTCTTCATCTTGAAAATTATGAAACATTAAAGGTTTAACTGATAGGCAACCAAAGAATTGAGTAGTACTCAAAAATTCTCTCAGGTGATAATAACACCATTATCAGATGTCGTTGCAGTCGTAATCTATATAATAGTCGTAATCATAAATACATCGTAAATACCACAGGAGTTAAATTCAGTTGATAAGGGCTCTTATCAGTCGTTATCAGCTGTTATCAGTTCCTATCATCGATCGTCTACGATCCCGCCACACTCCGCATCACATGCCAAACTGTCAAGGCTCCACTATTGATGCCATTATTATAGTGGCTCTACGCTTTGCAGGATTTTCATTAGCCTTTGTCAGTTTAATCAGCTCCTGGCCTGCCACCAACCATTCTCGATCCCGTCACCGAGTATCTACGATTCTGTCACATCATACATAACCTATTAAAATTCCGAAT